CCATACATTAGGTTTTCCATACATTATTTACATTTGTAGTCCTACACTTTGAGAAATTACCTTTGTTTTCAGTTTTGACAGAAAGCAACAAAGAACACATCCCATTCAGTGCATATCTGGCACAGCACAAAGTTAATCAGAAAGGTTTCTGGTTTAAAACCCAGCCTCCAGTAACATTTCATGCTTTCAGGAGTTCCAAGAAGGGTTCAAAGACTAAAAAAAAACATACATGTACCTGTTTTCCACAGAAGTTTAGCTTTTGTTTCACTTTATATTTGTTCACATGTTTTGGGGTTTTTTTTTCCTGTCTGTTTTTAGAGTTGGGCAAGTAGGAAAGAACAGGCCCACTAAAAATCTTCTAATTAAGAAAAGAATCAGCACTATCCATTAAATTTTGCAGAAACACTGAGAATCTGAGACTTCAGTTATTTCTATTCCAATGCTATGTATTTAAACTACCACATAAAGCTTTGCCATGTCACAACTATTTCACTGATAGATATCTCCAGTGTGTGGGGAAAGGCGGATGTAGGAGAGACAAAGGCCTTCTGCTTACACAACACATTGAGCCACCACACTCCAGAAACTCCTGTTAGCACAGTTGCGCTAGTCAGGAAGAAGAAAAATTCAGTCAGGCCAGCAAAGTTAAGTTCTTGCTCATTAAGCCTCCTGCTCTTGTGTGTGGCGAAGGCAGCAAGGCAAGGAAAAGCTCTCACAGAACACATCCTTGTGTTGATAGAAGCTGCACTTCAACCTAGGAAAAAGCACACTACTTGACCTACAACACTTCTGGAGACCCAGACACACCACTGCATAGGAAGATTACACGTCAGTCTAGTTTAAAAGCTCTAACAAGATAATACCTTTCAGAAGGCTGGTAAATGCCAAATTAGATTTCTTCTTCTCCTCATCCCTGCCAATAAAATATCCTCAGTTATGCACCAAACATAATGCTGGCAGTGCAAAGAACTGCACATTACCACACAACAAAACTATGTTCCAAAACATAACACCCTACAGGAACAAAGATTTGGAAACAGTTTCTTCATGTAAGCAAGTTAAAGCTTTGTTTAGTAATCCTGCACTTCTGATGTCAATATTATTCATTAATCTCTGTAGGTTAAAGGAATTTTATACTGCCAGAGTACTGATTTCAAAGGCTGTTTGGGTCCAGAAGTTATAGTGGTTTCATAAGCAGAGTGAAGCCAGTAAATCCAGCTAACAAAGACATTGTTCTACACACAATCAGCTCCTGTATCTCTGTATCGCATTAGCAGAACCAGCAATGTACTCCAAGGACACCTGACTGCACAGCTCACGCTGTCAGCACTCATCAGCTCCAGCTCAGGATGGCTCCTTCCACTCCAGGGTTTCCAGGCCACATTCCACAGTAAAGGAGATTCTAGGGAAGCATTCTGATCTGTCCTAACACCAGCTCTGAACCAGACTCAGACTACTGCCAGTTCTGCAAGAGTTCAGGAAACAGGGACTTGCACAGGTGCTACTGAAAGTCAGGAAAATTGGCACCAAACCAAAATTCAGCACTATTAAAATAACTCCCAGCAGCTGAGCATACCCTCATGTATTCTACTCATTACCTCGGGTAAACATGGTCTTTGCCGCAGAGTAGCACAGATTTTCTAAATCCAAGACCATCAAGACCTTTTTCTTCAACCACACACAGATTAGAACGGGTTGTTTGGAAAGGTTATAAAATACCTGTCATTTTTAAAATGGGTAGGAGAAAAATTAACTCTGTAACTGGTTTGCCTCATAATACTATTCTTCTGAATAAATATTCACAGCTATAATGGCAACAGAAGATTAGCTCCACCTCCACTTTCTTCAAACAGCAAGTTCACTTCCTACTACCACTGCACAACTGAATCAAAGGCCGAATCAGCGCTAGCATCATTTGAGGATGAGTATTCAAACAGACATCTCCATATCACTCTTTCCTCGTTATTCCTAACGAGCAAATGTGAAAATACCTCACACTGCTCTTTATGAAGACAGCAAGGAGACGAAAAAGCCTACCAGTGAGTCAGAACTGCCTTTATCCTTCAAAAAGATTTCAGAAGGCACTTGAGGAACGCCAGCTGGAAGATGCCTCCATTTTTGCTGTAGTGACCTAAACCCAACATTAGCAAAACTGGAGACTTGTCAGCTGTTTGTACCTTCAGATGAGGAAGCAACACCAAAATATAGGTGCCTTCTAACACAGTATAAGGATTTAAAACTCTGTTTGAAGCAGTAAAAACTCTTTTAAAATAATGTTCAAGCTACCTGTGCCAGAAAGACGTTTCTTAGAATGTGTATATATGGGGAAGAAGACGGTGTTTCACCTAAGGAAGAGCTGCTCTGAATAATCTCTTCCTGAAGCAGTTGCTTTGCAGAAGCCTTTCAGTAACTGGATGTTTTACCCATGTGTGCCACAAAGAGGGTCATTTACAACAAATGGGGAAAAGTTGGTATTTTAAATATTATGAAGCGTTTTGGGTTTTTTTCTTTGCTTGGTTTAGTGGTTGGGTTTTTTTAGAGGACTTCAACCTCATACAATAAACTGACCTTGTAAATACCCTTTGAAGGACAGTGGAAAACTACTTCCTCTAAGAATAACTCAGCACCTTAACTACTTTATCTCAGGGACGTTTTCTTGCTATTTTACTTTGTATTCAGAACAAGATCCCTATTGTACAACCATAATCTACTCATCTGGAAGCAAGAAAGGTTATCAGAGAGGCCTTGCCCATGTTACAGAAAGACTAAAACAACAGAGTTGGAATGAAAGTATTTTAGAAGTTACAGAAAAATGGAAGTTAAACATGACAGATTGCCAAAAAAGTTGAGCTTCTTTTTATATGTACCACTGTGGAATAGTTTTAATTGTTGATATTACAATATGGGACAATTCCATGTTTGAGAAGTCTTATTTTGGGCAATTTTCTTTCTTCATATACACACAAGAGCCTCCTACACTGAATGGTAAGCTAAACAAAAAAAACATTTTTCGTGAGGTGATACGAATTTCCTCTGTCCAACACATTATCTTCTCTGCAGATAAGTATTCCAAAGTACAATACCAACAAGAGAAAGCAAAATGCCCATTTAACTACTACAATATTAAATACAACATGTTTAACTTTTAAACTTCTAACAGTGTTTAAAAAAACAATCATTTCTGTTCAATATTTGAGCCCTCCTTAAAGGTACCATTGGCACTTACAAGTGTCTATCCAGTTCTATTTAAGAATTAAAGCAATAATCAACAACCTAAAACTAAACTCAAAAGGACATCTTTATTTATGAGGCAGCTCATTTAAATCATTGCAATTCTCTAATTAGAGTACTACAAATGCAAAGACCTCTGCTTTTGAAATAGAGTAGCACTGCAGAGTGAATTTTTTTAATGTCAATAATAAATTATGTATCAACTAAATCATTATGATTAGCAGACTAGTTATGGCTATAATGAGAAGGACAACCACACTAATCAGTTGAGAAGGGATCACTTAAGGTTCCAGATCAGTGAAAAGAAACTCATAGCACTCTAGACATAGCAAGTTTAGTAAAAAGTGAAATTAAAACAAATACAGGGAGGGAGCTGCAAACACGTTTTCCTTTACACTTTGTGAAGGTTAAAGCAAAGCTGAAGTTTACAATCTAATCTTAGGGAAAGAGCCTCCAACACACTATCTATGTGAATCCACAGAAGATTCTTTATTAAATTTCCCTATCCAAAAAGTCAGTAACACTGACTTTTATACTGGCTAATATATGCTCTATACATATACAGACACATATGCAATGCTCTACAGTTTTAAAAAACCCAACCAACCTAAGCCACCAAGAGTATTTTATAAAGTCTGGGAGAGTTCAGGCCTTGTTCTAGCTATGTCTAGAGTAATTGACCACTATCAGTCATTTCAACAAATAACACATGTTTACCAGGGCAGGAAAAAAAATTACTACTTCTGTTTTCATTCTTCAACCTGACAGTTATGAATGGACCAACTTTAAGAAAGTTAAGTATCAGCATTTTACTGAATGATGGGATTTATCCCCACAAAGCTTCACAAAAGCACACTAATAAAACACATTCTAGCCTACAATCAATAGTTCTACTAAACAGGGTACAGATGCAATCACTGTGAAGCAGAACCTTATCTAGTTTGAACAGAGGCAAAATCTGCCTCTAAAATCCTCAAGGCTACAGCATGTTATTAAAACACAAACTTCACCCTCAAACTGAAGTCAGCAATAGCAACATCCAGGGCTTAACAGCTCAGTGTATTCCCACAGAGTCTATCCAACATTTACCTCAGATTTTTTCTTCTATTAAAAGGAACAAAAAGTCAGTATGCTAGAACTTGTCCTCTTCAAAGCTGCCACAAACTACTCACTAGATAACAATTTCTCCCTTACCTTCCTCTGTCCAAGAACACTCAATATGGACATACTTTAACACACATATGCAAGTATACGAATATACTTTTATTAAGTATTTAAATTATTTTTATTAATTATAAATTATTTATTGTTAGTAGTATTATATTAAGTATTAAAACTACTAGAAGACTTTCTGACACCAAGTGTGAAGAAATACAGCTACAAGCTGTATTTTTGTATTTATTTTTGGCAGAGTACACTCTTTCAGGAAATACTGCTGCAGTCAGTTTCAAGTTCTGAGCATACAGGGAAAAAAAAAAGGGTAGCTGCATATTGCCTTATGCAAAATCAAAAGAAAACCCAGTTCAGAAATACTGATCATGTGAGTCTGGATTGTGTGGGTTGGGCAATAACATTATGATGATCAGATACCCAATGAAACAAGCTCTCCAGAAGCCTCATTTCAAACGATGTTGGCTTCAAAAGACTTCTGTCTAGCTTTTGCCAAAAAAAAAAAAATCCAAACAAAAAACCCTAAGTTTTCTTTAAGTAGTGTTTTCAACTTTAATACTAAAGTGCCAAACCCACTTTATTCTCCAAATAATACTTACTTCATTTCCATGTTTCTGCAGAAATTCTATTTCCTGTTGTGTGAACGTAGTCATTGAAATCGACTTCACTCTGTGGGGTGGATTCAAGCCCCGTCTGAAAGAAGAAAGAGGTATTCACCATTTGGGAAATTTGTCATCATACAATCACGTTTAATGCTACAGCTAGAAGTCAGTCAGTTTTAAAATCAGGAGCCACCTCTGTAAAGCACACTCATTCTTGGTACTGCCATACAACTCTTCTCAAAGTAACACTCAGTATATAAAGCCGAATAATAGAACTTCAGGGGAGACCAATATTCACAATCGCTCATGCAAAGTCACTCAGGCACTTTCTATGCAAATTTAAGAAAAAAAAAATTATACTTTGTTTTTTTTAAATCATAATCTGCTTCACCCTTGCCTCTACCTTTTGTCTCTCACTCTTGGGTTTCCTGGTTGTAGTTTCCTTTCCCTCCAACTCCTTCCTCACTTTGATCTCTCATTACAACTTCTACACAGTAACTAGATGTCTTCAAGCTAAACTGCCCAGCTCAGTATTTTTGTCTTCCTTTAACCTACATTTCCTGTTTCCTCACAGCATCTTTTTATAGTTTACTTTTTGCCCCTGCACTCACAGAGGCTTACTCCTCTTCCTGAACACTTCAGAAGTAATTGCAATAAAAGCAAAAAGGCACTGGTTTTAGCATGCTCTCAAATGAGAGATACCATTGCTAATGCCACAGCTCCAAACGTGAGCAGCTCTGCCTGAAGCCCAGATTGGCAGCACTCTCACATCCATGCCAGGTTGCCGCAGCAGGGCCAGCAGAACACCAGGCATTTGTGCTGCCACAGCCTGACACTGTCAAACCCAGTTCAGTCACAGCCGGCAAGCACAGAGAGAAAACATGCTGAGCAACAGCATCAGGGAAGAAAAAGCTTTCTTCGTTTTCCAACTCCCTCTTTAAATACATGCTAGCTACTGCTTTTGCCCACAACTGCTTTCAATCAAACCCAGGCTGTGCTTTGCCCAATGGATGCAAGAACATCCCATCCTGTATGTGCCAAGCACTGGAGACACTCACCCAGGGGCCAGTTTAACACTCAGGTTAATCAGGCCTGGATTTCTGAAATACCATCTTAAAAAACAATTCATAAACATTAACCATGAGATATCAAAGCACACAAAAAGCTTTCCAGGGATGCAATACAGGCCTAACAAATCACTAAGAAAATCAACTGATAGCTGTACTGTTTGTATTTATCCCTACACTTTTAATTCTAGATTTGGTTCAGATTACTTTTAAGAATTAAAAAAAAAAACAAAAAAACACTAACATCTAATTTAGGACAGCCAGCAGTTTTCTCCAAACTCCATGATTATCCCAAGAACATTAGCTATAAATTAAATTGTTATCCATCAGAACACCCTATGACAAAAATCTGATATTCCAAATATTAACATTATATTCAGCTTTGGCAGAAAAATTTTAGCACTTCAAGTTTTCCAAGTAAGTCTAATGGGAAAAATACTATTATGCATTTTGTTTGGAAATTCACCTTCACACCCAAATTCAAGTGTACCTGTAAGACAATTCTGATCCTGTGTTAAAGAACTCCACATTTTTAATCAGAAGTTGAATAGGTTAGAACACTAAGCAGTAACATTTTAGCCTAAGTTTCATCAGACAAATTCTAAGTTCTCAAACAAATTTGAGATAATCACTGTTTGAAACACTTGGACAAACAATTAATTGTATTTTGCAAAGAAATGCAGGCATTTTGAATACTTAAAAGCAGAAGTCATTTACAAACCTACAGGTTTGTAAATGACTTCTACTAATATAAAATTAGTTTTACAGAATACCATTTGCTTCAGCAAACTTTTGAAATCAGAGCAGCTGACATTAGACTCCACAGTTCAGCACCTTAACAAGGTAGAAGTTTCACTGAAGTTGGTGAGATTGGTTTTACGGTAGTTGATTAAACTATCTTCCCTCAAAATATTTAAATTTCTTGGTAAATTAAAGTTGCTAATTTAACATCTTTCATCTAGCTGTATCATCTACACGAACTACATTTATTAAAATACTACAATATTATCTAAGTTTTTTAAAGTAAGTACTCATTTTAAGATGATATAATTTAAAAGAAACCTGTAGGAGTTCTATGCAGTTAAAACTCATTGTTTCAGAGCTGGTGCTAGGATTAGGTTTTGCTTATTTTTGGCTTTTAAAAGAAACACCTTCTCAGTCTGTGCATGCAAGTAATTACATTTCATAAATGGCACTTTTAGCATCACATATTGAGTGACAGCATAGAAACAAATTTGGCATCCACGTGGCATTTCACACAGATCTGCTCCATCAAATGTTATATGACAATTACTGTCCCTTGCTTTTACAGTAAGTATAAAAGCAGTTCTGTCCGTCTTAGTCTGTTCAGTTTACTCTCCTCCTAGTAATTACAACAGCAGCACAGTTAGGTAGTTTTAAACTATTTAATGGCTATTTAAAAGCCAGAGCTATTCACTAACACATTCACATGTTTCTCAGCACAGGTAGTGTATCCCAACTTTCCCACTAGCTCCTGCTGGAAATTCCTTTTTGCAGTAAGTACAGTTTAAGTGCTCTGTTGTACCTTCGTTTCCAATTTCAAGGCACTGCACAAGTTCTTTAAGACTTACCTACTCCACACTGCTCTACCAGGGCTCTTCAGAGCATTTACAGCAGCAAACACTGACATCCTCAGTACCTTCAGCTCTGTTAAGCAGCAATATTAAACATGGTTGAGGCCTAGATAAGATTTTGTTAAATCTCACCAGGGACTTCCTCCATGCCTGTCTCTCCAGCGAAGAGTTCAGACATATAAGGTTTCCTGGTATACACACTATATCCACGTGGGATAAGAGGAATTCACATTTCTCTTACACCATCCTGCTAAAAGAAGGAAGACATCCCCCTCTAAAGATCCGATCACCACACAGAGGTGTCAGATGTCTGGCAGGGTGAAAGAGAGCATGGCACCAAGTCAGTGGTTCAGGAGTATTGGAAATTCTGAACAAAACTTGGGAACAGCCATCATCTAAAGTAAACTATCAAGCTGCAATACTGTACATTCAAGTATTTTTGTCCATTGAATATGGCAAAGGATGCAGGGAACCTATGTAAAGCTTCCTCCTATGCCAAAGCAGTTTAAGAAGTCAGCCCGGAACAAGGAATTCAAGACAAGAAGCTGCACACAAACACAGCCCAAGAATTGTTTTCCTTAGATAAATTACTTTGATTTTACTATTAGAACAGCAAACTCTATTTTTTTATGATTTCTAACTAACATCCATGAATTGCCTAGAATTTCCCTAAAACAGAGCAGTTGTGCAATTTTTGAAACAGGATTCAAGGACCAACCCTTCCTTACCTCACAGAGACTATTTAATGACTCAAATGATTCACAAACACCTCATCTACATATGGGGGAAGCTTTCTGGGAGACAGCCAAGTACAATTATCCCTTATGAGGAATTAACAAACCTCCTTTTTCGTAGGAAAAATGTTTCTTTCCTTGTATTTGACAAGTGTTTCACACAGTTCTAATGCTTTACAGTGCTCCCTATTTAACAGGGGACAGAATGGATTACAGTCCCTTAGTGCAAATTATCCATGCCTAAATTTAAATTGACCCTGAACAAGTATTTGCAACCTGCCCCTGTGCAGCAGTACCAGTTACTCCCTTCCCTACAACAGGGCTCCTGGGGAAGGCAGCAACCAAACGCTACCTCAGCACTTCAACCACACTGCAGCTCTCTCCTCCCAAGAGGCCCTGGGGAAGGATGACAGAGTAAGACAATTCCTGCCATCTGCACTTATCCAGCACACCAGAGCTAGAACATCCCACACAGAGATCCCACTCATCACTGCCAACTTCTTCACGCTCAGCAACGATTATTTCTGTGGAAGAGCACTGTGACCAGAGATTCCAGCCCGGAGAGTCTCCTCCACTGACCCTCACTGAGTCACAGCTTAGCATAGGGGCAGCTTCAGAGAATATGAGACCTCTGTTCTCCAGAGGGCATTGTTAAACTGGTGCTCTCACAAACAAAGGAAGCTTTAAGGCCACTGACACAGGATTCTGCAGTCTGGCAGTTGAAACATTAAACATTCAAAACACAGTCAACAAGCAGTGGATATTTGTTTCTAACATAATTTAGCGGCAAATTACAGTTGAACTTGTGATTGTTGGCAGAGCAGCCGACTGCAAAGGCTAGGGCTGGGAGGGGAGAAAAATGTGAAGAGTGAGCTCTGGCAGAACAGAGGGTCCCTTTCGTGGGAGGAATGGTGGGCAGACGGCTGCTCAACACTGCTCATGTCCCCTGGATCAGATTTTAACACCATTTCGAACCTAAGCCAGCAAAATCTGATCCCCTAAAATTCAGCAAGTTAATGAGGCAAGTCAAATACCAAGCCATCACAGAGCACCCCACACACCCAGATGTCCAGAAAACAAGCACCAGAAAACCCAGTATCACAGCATTCATTATTATTTCTGTGCTACTGTAATTAGCAAAAAGGAATATAAGCAGCACTGGCCATTCCTGATACTTGTAGACCTCCCTGGAGACCCTCCGCCATCTCACAAGCTCATTTATTTTTAATAGCAGACGACTCATACACACATTTTGAAGCAGAGTTAAGGTTAATTTAGGCTTTTTCTTAAAAAATAACCAAACATTCTTTCTGAACTGCACAGTGTTCACTTGGAATAGACACATTTCCTTTGCTCTCCTGCCTTGCAACTGAAAACAAGAAATATAGTAACACAAAAAATATCCTTAAAATACATATATATATACACACAGAGAGACCCAGAACACATGGAGTCATTTTCCAAACATGCTCCAAAGGAAAAAAAGAACTGAAAAGTCATGCTAACTCAATCACCTTCACTCTAGCACTGTTTATGTAGACTATTTTAATTTCTGCTAAACTTATTCTAGGGATAGAACAATAACTTATCACCCCTGCACAGAGATGTTACAGTTTGTTACTATTCTATCAGTGACCAAATACTTCTGTCTGGCTGATACAGAAGTCCCCTACCCATGAAAATTTTAAATTTAAAATTGCAACTAGGAGCATTACAAGCAGCCAGAAGAAGGCCAACAGTTGTAAAAAATTAGCATAAAAGGGCTTTAGCATTTCTCAAAGTACCTATTATGTTCTAAACATTCCTTGTTGCTGAACAAGAGACTTCCTAAGTAAGTTGGAAGGGAGTTAAGAGGGCAGTGAGAGAAAGGATATGAGTGCCTTAATTATCACATCAGCAGATACAAAAAGGAGTCAAGATTAAAAAAAATATATATATAATAGAAAACATGTGCAAGCAGACTGTTAAATATTTTCCGTTGGTGAACTGAAAAACATGTTCTTTTTATCAAAGTTGGGAGCGGGCTGACTGTGAGTGCTACAGAAGTACCTGAAAGCAGAGATGCACAGACAGCAGAGATACAAGGCAGAGAGGCATTTGATAAGACAAAGGGAAGGATGTCACTGTCAGCAGGCCACATGGGAGCATCCAGGAAAACAATAGTCATAGCTACCAACACAACCCTTTGAATCAAAGGACTTCTGTCAAACCAAAATAATCTCCCTGCCAACATTTCCCAAGATGCAGGTTTGCTGTAATAAGGAGAAATCTTCCTGTAGTGTATGACTTTAATCTTGACCAGAGCACCTCCTCCTGCTCTCAGGCAGGAAGTGTGTATAATTCCAGATAGCCTAGATTCTTGTACAACACCAAAAAGTTGAGTTACCTTGTGTAATGCTAGCACACTTTTTTTGCCCACATGAAGAATTTAAACGCAGGGGACTAGTGGAACTATTTTAAGAGGAAGCTAATTCACACCACTGTGCATGAACTTTCTGCTACATGCACCATTTTGCACAGCAAAACTTCTGCTCTGGAGAGCCTGATCTGAGCCGGTCACTTAAACCCCAGGTACTACGGAAAAAACCTCCTGTCATCCACATTTCTGACTTGACAAGACTCACCTTCAGCATTAAGTCAGAAACAGATCTTTTTAGCAAAGCCACTAGTTCTGTCACTGTTTTTAGCAGCATATGAAAAAGCTAGACATGCTGTTTTGGGAAACTAGTAGAGGGAATAGTAGGTTTTTAAAGCTAAATCTAGTAATACATAGCATCATTCTTTTGATACACATGAAATACTTAACGGAAATTCAGGATGGATCCAGAATTGAGATTTCGGATGTGACTAGACAGTCCTTGCCAGGACAATGAATAAATACTTCAGAAAACTAGTAAAAAAAGTTATACTACACTTTAAAAGAGTTTAGAGTTAACTGTTTCTAGAATAACATGCTTATTTAAGATGATACTGATGTTAGCAATCACTTTTAATTGAGAAACCTTTCTGAAGGAGACTTTTTAATCTACTAGTATTTTAATCTTGCACTGGGCACTTCATACTTGAAAAAATTAGTCTACTTGACTCCAAGAATGCTTCCTGTACCAGATTAGAAAAAAAAAAAAATTAAACCAAGGAGCAATGCAAGTCATTCACATAGCATATAAACAAGATAAAGTACTAAGATTATTACAATCTTACAGTAAAGCAAGTGCTATGAGGCAGAACACAAACAGCCAATAAAAACTACAAAAGCAGCAGTACTTTTATATTTGCCACTATGTTGTTTGTTCCCAAGTCGTTTCCCTACACCATGAAATTCTACAGGGAAAAGCATTTGGAAATAAACAAGTTGTTTGAAGAACTGTTCTGACAGAGTGTTAAAAATAAGTTTCTAGTTATGAAACAGACATGACCTACACCGAGTCTCATCACTAACAAATAAACATGCCACTGGCTAGGTCATAAGGTGTTAACCAATGCATATGATACTGCACACACAACTTATGGAAGTTTTTCTAAGTTGACATGAAAGAACGAGTCCAAATTGATTTTAGAGGGAAACTTCAAGTCCTCTTAATAGTCATTTACTCCAGCTGTAAATGTGTTACTAGCTGTAAGAACCAAACGTTCTGGTTGCTTTTTTGCAGCGAGACAAAAACACTTCACATTCACAATGAAAAAAACATTTGCATTTCATTGGAATACCAATACATTAACCATGTTTTTGTAGATACTCTTCCTCCTTTAAGCATGGTAACATCCAAATGATGGCCAACACCAAGCGGCAGCTGTCCCCTGCTTATGAGCTGCTTCAGTGCCTGTACATCCTTTTGGTTGCTGTAAATTGGACTATGTTAGTAGTCCATACCTCCCAGCCAACAGATAAAAGGAACAGACTCTCCTGAACCCACGCTAAGCATCTCAGCAGCATTCACAATATACTTGTCTATTGAGGTTAAGAAGCCTGAAAAATAAAGACAAACACTCTCATGGTACAGCTTTACCACACTTTCAGTTTAACCCAGTAAGAACATGTGCAACCATTAAATAAGCTCAGTGCAGTAGCTTAAAATAGCTTCACATGCCAGCACAAATAACAGTTTCCTAAGAGAGCAAACAATAGCCAGAGCTGGCTGATGGAGTGGCATGTTTGTGTGAAAAACTAGTCTCTTTTCAATTTCACAACCTAAATGTATTTTCTGTATTTGCATCAAGTCTGTTCAGAAGCCTACATAGAGTAGAAGAACTCCAAGTCTAATTAGCTGTCTATTAGTATAAAAGACAGTTTGTTCCATGTAAATTCAGCAAAGAACTAATATATTTGCTTTGCATTTCAACATAATTACCAACTCTGTTCTAAAACACAAGACCTTACTTGGAAGGGCTGTTTGGGGAAGTAAGGGGACAGAAATTAGTTCAGGCTCCTGAATGCCTTTTAGAAACACCAATCTGTATCCTCTGACATACTATTTATTACTTCTTTGCTTACTCTGATTCTGCTCCATTCCATTAGCACAATGCTACAGAATCATATAAAAGCAAACATACAGCTAAGGAGACAGCAGCACTGAAGACAGCAGGGTCTTTCTCCCAAATTATGTATATGTGACTGAAATTCACAACTGGATGACCTCAACTCTTAGTTTCATACACACTATCTCTGGGAAGGATGGGTGGAAAAGGGAGGAGTAGTGGGAAGGCCCATACAGGAATGAGGAACAGGAAAAATGAAATCACTTTATCAGCACCAATCCCTTTCCAAGGTTTATATATATAGTTTGTAGGAAATAGTCGATGTAAAGTCAAAAAACCCCAACCAGCTTTTACTTTTCTGATCAAGTCTCTCAAACCATTGGGCCTGGCGTTTATAGACTGAGACAGAGCTTAAAGGGTTGTCTTACAAACTACCACCAAGCAGAACTCGATGCACATAAAGCTATGCTGGTGGTTTAACTTAACGTTTAAGTACCATCTGCAAACGCATTCACGACAGGGTTAGTATCCCCGCATCTTCAAGGCTGTCATCAGTGCATGAACTGCTACGCCACGTGCCCCTTCCCTTTCCACAAGTATTGTCGTACGCTTGCTTAATTAACCACCCCTCCAACACGTCCGTGGGGTGGTGGCGCTCGGGCTGCCCGTGCGCGCTCCCCCTGTGTGCCGGAGAAGCCTCCCCAGGATCATCTCCGGGCCGCGGGGCTGCCGTGCGCCCCAGCGCCGCACACCCTGCCGGCGGCGTCCACCTCCGCACCGGGGGCTCCGACGGGGATTTCCAGCGAACGCGCTCGGGAAAGCCTCCCGACGGCCTCCCTCCCTTCCCCGAGAGAGCCCCCTGCCCGCTGCCCTCCGACGTGGCCAAGCCGGCAACAGGAAGGGCGAGCGCAGGGGGAGCGGCGGCGCTGCGAGACCCGCGGCGGGGCTGCACCGCCCGGCCGCCGCCGCCCTGCGGACGCCTGCCCCGGCGGCCGGGGGCGGAGGTCACCGCTGCCGGGGGAATGGAGCCGGCGGTCCCCTCCCGCACTCACTCACAGGATGCCGGAGCAGGAGGTGCAAACGAAGCTGCCCACGGTCATGTCGGTGTAGGTGGGGCCCCGCTGGTCGCAGTCGAAGCACTTGCGGTTGGGCGGGAGGCTGCTCATCTCCCGCAGCAGCTTCAGGTGCTTCTCCTCCTGCTTCCGCTTGGCGCTCGCGGCCATGGCCCCGCCGGCGAGGGACGGCCCGGCACGGCGCCGGGCCCCGCTCACACCCCGGCGGCGGCGGCGCTCCGGGGCTCGGCCGGCGGGAGAGGGGCCGGGCGGGCGGGGGGGGGAGGGGAAGACAGGGGAGGAAGGGGCGGGGAGGGCACAACCGGCGCCTGCCGGCGGGCCGGTGAGAGAGCGCGGTGGCCGCTGACGCGGACCGGCAGCCCCACGAGGGAGGGAGCGGGCGGGGGCCGCGGCTCAGGGGAAGCAGCGGCGGCGGCAGCGGCACCGGGCCCGGGGCGGCGGAATGACGAGCCCGGGCGGAACCTGCGCGACACCTTTATGAGCTCAGCGAGGAGATGGCGGCGGCGGCGGAGCTCTGCGCGCCCGCCGGCAGCAGCGCCCCCTGTCGCATGGGAGGACGCACCACACCCCCTCAGTCCCCTCATGCCGCGACCCCGGCCCGGGGCGGCGCCTCCGGCGGGGCCGAATCACCCCGCGTGACCCGGCGGGGCGGGGGGAGGGCCGAGGGTCAGTCCTGTGGAGAATCCCGGTAGAAAAATATCAATAAAAAGTGAGTGCAGTTAGACTTTCCTCGGGGAGGAAGGGGATCGCCTCCCCTCCTAGCGGGGTGCTCGGGGCGTGCTGTTCCCCTCACACCGCGGGGTGCGCGCCAGGCAGTCCCCGCCGCCCCTCGTGGGCAGTGGGCTCAGGCCGGCTGGGGAGAGCGGGAGGTGCTCCGTGAAAGAACGACCACGTGCCTCGTCCCCACCCCAGCGCTGCCTGTGTCCCTCTGTGTACCAAAAGTCTGGAAATTCAGTCACGGAGCGTGGCGAGAGCAGAGGCGCTCCCGCTCGCAGCCGGGGGTCCTGGCGGCGGGCAGACCCGGGGGACGGGCTGGTGGCCCAGGTTCCGTGAGGATCGTCAGGGCGGATTGCAGCAGCCAGCGGATTTATGAGAGAACACCCCCACAGGGTCTGGCTTTCTTGGGACGGAGATGAGAAATGCACAGTTTTCCTCTGGGAATCTGGTGCCCGGCTGGCGGTTCCCGCAGCAGGGGAGAGAGCATAGCCAGCAGTCACGTACTTCTGGTACCCGAGAGGAAGCCCCAGTTTCCACAAAATAAGTGTTTGTTCTACACAAAGGTGCCTAACAGTGTGCAAAATCAATGTTAGGAAAACAAAGTCAATGCACTTTATATTTCAGTGATTTCAGTTACAAAACACCCTAGCAACGCTATGTATGATTAAAATCTTTTAAGGTTTAATGACCCAATACAATGTATTTAGGGTCAAGTTTTGTGCCCCTGACGTCAGTACACATATGAGCAAGATCTGATCCACTGTATTTTCCTCATAGTTTAAGTTTAAAAAAATCTAGGACTAGGTGTTCAGCATCAGTAATCTGTCCTTCCTCTTCTGATTCCTCTGGATGTGCTATGTGCTAATTTACATGAGCTGATCAACCAGTTCTAAGTTTTAAACACAGAAGGCAATGCTCTAATTTCTTTCCTAGTATGGATGGCAGGAGCTGTTCAAAGTGAAAAATGAACATCACTAAATAATCACCAATGCTTAAATAGCACTCTTAAGAGTAAACAGGAAATATTTCCAGTCTTATAAGGACCAAATTCTCACTGCTTCCTTTAATTTTTCACTTCTCTATGAAATGCTGATATTCTTGTTATTCAGGAGGTTTCATTTATTTTGCCTTTTACAAAAAACGCTGACATTGTACCTTTGCCAATGACCTAAATGACCTAAAGCAAATGACCTGAATTTGGAAAAAAAAAAAAAAATTTGAAGGTTAAAAAACAAGTTGTTGGGGTTTTTTTCCTGGAAAATCCTTCGGAGAGCAGTGATTGGCCACACACCTGCTGCAGCAGAGAGTTGCTGCATGCAGCCAGGTTTTGTTTCAACCAGAGTCAAAGGTGGTTTGTAACTGAAGCGGGAGCAAGCAGCTTCGACTGCTCGTGTCACGACTGAACTCACGTGAATGTCACACAGGAACAGCTGCTAAAAAAATGACATCGCTGTCATTGACGTTGTCATTGTCAGTAAAATGTGGAACTGAGCTCCCAGGGAAAATCCTAGCACTGTTTAAGTCAATCAGAAAGTTCAGTAGGAATCCTATGGCTCCAGTTTGCTTTGTGAAGAAGCAGTCCTGCCATTATTCTGGTGTTTGAGAAGCCTATTGAGCCAAGATAGGCTTACACTAGTGGATGAATTACCTATGTTAACATTTATGTGGTTTAGAAACCACTTTTTGTAAATACCAAGCTTCTCCGTTGTGCATCTTACAGAGCAAATTTACCCCAGGAAACTAGAGAATGAGACTTCAGGGTTGTGTGAGGAAACACTGTGTTACAAATGAGATCTGTGGGATTCGCGTTCTTCCAGAGTCTGTGGGCACACCTGGGGCTCCTACAATCAAATATCTACATCTTACCCTCCTGTTTGGTCAGAGCCTAAGGAGTACAAGGCCCTAAGTATAACTGAGTGTAACACTGTTGACACATACAGATCTAAAAACTGGCTACAGTAACTTCTGTTTCACCTCCCCACAAGCAATAACGTAACTGGTGCTCCTCTCCCACTCCCGCTTTTTCTATGTTTTGCTGCTCACAGCTAGCGTTAATTCCCTCAAAGCAGCTGGTCTGTGTTTTCTCTAAATCACTAAAGGAAAATATCCACAAATAATACACATTAATAAAACCGCTTCTCTTCAGTTTTACTCCTGGGTTTTCTTCTTCATTACATATTTTTCTCTACTCTACAACCCCAATTTCCTTTCCTGCAGCCTCTCTGTCCAAATTTGTTCTTTATTCTCTCCTTCTAATGACCATACTTCTGCAGTTGGAAATATACTGGCCAGCTGTTTATTCCAAAAGTGCTTAATCCCTGCTGCACCTGCTACAGCTTTTAGCATTAAAATTAATTTCTTAACAAGAAGTAGAACAATTATTTTTTATGCTTGCAACATTTCTCTTTACATAAGAAACAGAATTTAATATTCCAGTCATAGGTAATAATATCTGAAAGATGTTTCTTTGGTAAGCTCTTAAATATGGGCCAATAGGGTATAAATTATAATATACAAACACATAATCTAGTGGATTTATTGTCATGACCAAAAGAAACAAGACTCTAAGAATGTACATTTGGGAGATGAATAAGACATTCTCTGTTTGCCACTAGGATTGAGGTCAATAATATCCACTTTAAAGCAATTAACCCAGCAGGATAAGTGACGTGAAAATTATCATGCTGAAAGGCTAATGGGCTATTAAATCCATCTTGCTTCACCACTGATGGGCATACAGAATTAATCCTGGGATTAGGTATAGCAGATCGAGGGTAAACTGCTGCCTCACTTCATATTCGTATATGAAGGGTTTTCTGAAAATGCTAGGAAAGAACACAGCCAGAACATTCACTGATATGCTCTATTCAAGGTTCAGTCCACTGAGCATAAATTAGTGTGTCTGTGCCTGGCCTTATTCAAGCAGTAGTTTTTTATTAATGAATAGATACATTTTGGTAAGAGATCAGAACAAGAGAAAGTCATAGCAATGGTTATATAAATCATACTGCCTGTTGACAATTATCTAAATCTGGACAATTCAATGCAAGAAAATGGTCAGACAAATATGATTGAATTACAACATTATCTTTACTTGCAATGCCATTTCCCTTGGACAGCTCCCACCCACTGCTATGACATTAACATAGTAAGAAGAGATAAATGACAGAAAGCCCTGCCTTTACCCTTAATAACTGTGAATAAGAAACTGACCTCACAATAAAGAGAAAGGCACAGTCTCATCAGCTTGGGATTTTTGTAATGAACAAGTTAGTGGTCTGTATTTTTTTAATATCATCTTTTATTTGTGTGAAATACACCTAATTCTTTGGAGTAATATGGGGTAGGGGATGGTTTTCAGTCACCATATGGTTCTCTTCCTGCTTTCTAGATAGGCCAGTGATGTTGAAAGGTTATCAATATTTCAGCCTTGCCCCTTTATTTGACACAGTTCTTGAATTTCCATCGTGCCTTAAGTGCACTAGATCATATTCCAGTTTGTAATCACAGACTAGGCAGTGGAAAGAACATGCCTATATACAGTTGCAGTGAAGGCAAAATATCTGTCATAGGAATGCATATCTTGTATGTAAGGCAAATGCATTTAATTTTTAAGTTAATCTTTACAGGACATTACTTTTTAGAGAATGTGCCAATGTTTCTATTACTGTTTTTTGTTTTGTATTGGTTTATCATTAATCTATAAAACCCTGTAGTTGATTCATGTAGTTAAATAAGCTGTCACAGAGTTTTGTTAAAACGATTGTTTCATGCATCTTTCAGAGGAACATGCCAGAGGAGAGAGGAACCCTTTAAACCACAGAGTATATTCATACTTGATCCTGTTACAGCAATAGAAATATAATGGTAAGTCATAATATTTTACATTTGCTGGAACATCCCACAGAAATTTTGGCAATACACAAGACAGCCCAGAGTCTATGGGTAGAAGAAGGAAGTTGTGGAACTGATATGAACAAAACTACAAGGCTGCAAAAAAATCCATCTTTAGGACACAAATGTGAAAGACAGAATGGTGGCAAGATAGTTCAACTCTTCAACTCTTCTGGTTCTAAATTAGAAGAGGGAGAGATAGAACTTAAACAGACATCTAAACCCCAACAGCTTCTCTAGTATTTGGCTACATAAAGTACTGAACCAGGAAATACTCTCCCAGCTGTCTGAGCAGGAACAACTTAATTTTCACATTAAAGTTTAAAGACCTAAGTTATTTCTTGACCTATAAATGAGATTTGTATTTAAAGCCCAATGTATTTTGAAGTTCAGTTCTTCAGTATCTTTTCCACTTGACGATGAGCATTTCCTGCCTGTTTTCTGTAAAACTCCCATGGGAGTGAAGAGAGGCCTTCATTGCTTTTCACTAATGAATCTAAATTATTGATTAGTCAGTCTAATTTGTGGATACTGCTATTGGTTAGTGCTGTCTTAGAAGTGCCTTAGATTGGGCAAAAAGAAATACAGGTAATTTCACACAGATCTTCAGTGAGGGAAAGACTATTAAAATAGATAGGAGAAACAGCATTTTCAGCCAGTGTTCTTTTATTTGCCCACACTTCACAGAACTCACATATTCTCCTTCATACTGCCCTAGAATTTTATTTATTTTAATAAACATTGCTTGAGGGCTGATTTGGGGAACACTAGAGTACAATTAACCGTTCTGAGCAGACATCTTTCAGTGCTTATGGTAACCCTGAAGCAGTGTCTAAAACTGGAATCTAGAAAACAGGTCCATGAATTTCTAATTCTCTAAGTAATCTGATTATATAAAGAATTAAAAAGGACAAAAAGAAAGAAAAAAGGGGCAGAGTCAGAGTTCCCAAGACAGGTCACAAAATACCTGTCATGCACTGCATGATCTGAAACACTGAGATTGTAA